TGGGGGCGGGAGCAGTGGTGCAGGTGCCTTTGGGGACTCTGAGTGGTGGTGGTGGTGGTGGTGCTCCTTCTTGGGGGGTGAGGAGGCACTGCTGCTGCGCCCTTTAGGGCTGCTCTCCTTGCTTTTCCGCCCAGGGCTCTTGCAGGTCTTCAGTCCCTTCCCACTCTTCTCACCGAGGGTGGACACCAGCAGAGGCTTCACCACCTCCTTCACCTCAATGCTGACTGTCTCTCGGGTCTTACGCTTCTTGATGGGGAGCACGGTCTCTTGCACAGACCGGATGGATGACTCCTTCACGGCTTTCTTCTTGGCCTCAGTGGCAGCAGCTGCCACCACACTGCCTGGCTTTCGGCCCCGTTTCTTGGGAATGGCCTGGGGGTCGGCCTCGGCTTTTCGCTTCCTGCCGGGACGTTTAATAACCATGACCTGGGCTGATGTGGTGGCCCCAGCCCCTTCGGCCTTGCTCCCTGGTGAAGTTTGAAAAGGCATCTTGACGAGCAGCTTCCCAGGACTTTTCTCCAGGACCCTTTTCACCTGCACGCCCTCTGATGCCTTGGGTCTCGCGGTGCCGCTCCCTTTGGGGCGTCCCCGACCTCTGCCAGTTCCTGGAGCTTTGGGAGATTTGGGCTTCTTAGGTGGTTTCTGCTCTCGCCGGGAGGGGCTCCCTCTCCCAGTTACCGTGAAGTCAAAATCATTAGGGTCCAGGGAGGTGTCGCCTACCTTTTCGAAGTACGCAATCAACTCCACTTTAGATCGAAAGGCTTTTCCCTGGGGACTGTGGGAACAAATGGAGAGACATAAAAAAATGATTAGAAGCTTCCACAGCAATGTTGGAGACGGGGCAGAACAGGTGATGATGAACTTTGACACAAGATGTTCTGCAGCTGATAGTGAACCAGAGTCACATTTAAGAAAAGCCAACATGAGCTAAAACTTGAGGGGCACAGCCAGTTATACATGAAGTAATCAGGTCGCCGGGCAGTGGTGGGCATCTATATGGCCTGCTACTATACCAGAATAGTTTGGTGCTAGCTGCTCCACAGCTGTCACCTGGATGCCCCCGAGGACCTGCCTGCCACTGAAGCCCCCTCTGGCCCCTGAAGGGGTATGACCTGGGGACCCTGTCTAGCCATCAGGCCCATTCTGCTGCTTAGCGCCTGGGCCTGATCCACCAGTAGAGCACCCTCTGTCTGAACCTGTGCAGTTTAGCATCTCTGGGAACTGGGTTCCTCATATGTATATAAGATAATGCTTTGCTCACCCTTCTCAGACTTGCTGGGACCAAACGAGGCTGCAAATGTCCTTTGAAAACTGCTCACCTTTTAGGCATTGTCTAAGGGGCCGAACTGAAATGTACTTATTCATTCCTCCTCTGAAGCTCAGGCTTGGAAGTTATTGTTTCAATAGAAAACACTCATGCCCTGACCGGTGTGGTTCAGTTGGTTGGAGCATTGTCCCATTACACTGAAAGATGGTGGGTTTGATTCCCAGACAAGGCACATACCCAGGTTTCCAGTTTGATCCCCAGTCAGGCGTGTGCAGGAGGCAACCGATCGATGTTTCTTTCTCACATCGCTATTTCTCCCTCCCTTCCTCTCTCTATAATCAATTAAAAAATCATTTTTAAAAAAAAACTCCCAGTGACCCTCTCCCAAGGCTGGACAAATGCAAAAGGGACAGTTGGAAAGGCACATGAGGCCTATTCGTGTCTTTCCCCAGAGGCCTTGTCCGAGACCTCACCTTTCCCAGCACAATTCAAAGAGTGGACTGAGCTCTATGAACTCCTGTTTTATTTTTTCTGGTTCATAAAGCAATGTCACAAAACAACTCTCCCAGAAAGAAGATGAGGTTAACAGGTTCTGAGAAGAGCCACTCAGCTGGATATTCTCCAGCTGAGGAATGGCAGGAACCCCAGGGAGATCCACTTGCCTCCCGAGCCCAGGCCACTGCACATGGCAGGCCCTGTGGCCTCAGTGCTTCCCAGGTGACCTCTCCTGGCATTCTCATTGTGACCCTGGGTAGGCCCTACTGCTATTCCATCTCTAAACGAGGCCTCAAGGGCTGGTAGGGTAAAGCACACTGTTACCCTGTGCATGTCTCACTTAGGGCAGTGACTTCCATACACAGTCATTCTAAGCATACCTACTCATGCTTGCAAGCGATACTCATTACTGAAGCCACCTTGGCCCCAGGTTGGGTTATGCACACACATTTTCTTGATTAGCAGCAAGGAGCTCCTACTCCAAGGGAGCCTTATTAGTTTTCAGTGCCTATCCCTGACTTCCTGCCTACCCAGGCCTCCCAGCTCGAGAGAGACAGGAGTTGCCCTTACTTACTTGATCAAATACACATCATACTTCCCAGCGGAGCGGCCAGATTTCCTTTGCTTAAGCTTCCGGGTCCAACCTTCAGGCAAAGTGGGGTCATCATACATGGGTCCCCGGTCACGAATGATGGAGCGCCGCTGTTTGGGGGAGGCAGAAGCTTCTGGGACGGCTGGGGCTGAGCCTGACCCTTCCGAGGTCTCCGCTTTGCCTGCCTCTGCTGGCTCAGCAGAGTGGTGGGCTGGTGGCTGCAGGGGCTCATGCTTGCCCTCTTTGTCTTCTTTCTTATCTTTCTTCACCTTTTTAAACTTCAGGGGTTTGTCCTTGAGGCCCTGGAGATCCTGGTCTTCTGACTTTTCTTCCCTGAAGTGTTAAACAAGTATGTAAGTATCACAGAGGACACACTGGTTTGCAGAAAAAGTGAGAATTGGCAGGCTTCAGGTCACCCAGCACAGGCAGGGCTCTGGGAGCCAGGGTTACCCCACTGATGCTCACCCAGGCTTGATATTCTTCCCTTCACAGATTTCTTTAGGGGCTTTGGGGTGCTGATGGTGGTAGCCAACCGAACTCTGCCTGCACTGTGACCACCTCAAGTCCCATTCCTAGTGTGCAGGAGAAAGAAGTGGCCTGTATAGGTGGCATTTTTTCTGAGTAGAAACACTATGTGGCTTCTCAGCATGCTGCCTTGGCAGAGGCCACTTTACGTATAAGCTGCACCCGAGGGCTGACTTGACTGCTGGAGAGGGAGCTGTCCACCCAAAACGAGGGTGAAACTCCTTTTCACAATGGCTTGACTTGGGTGTTACTATAGCTTCTGTATTTTGGGTTTTCTCATATGTGTACTGGACAAAGAGCTGCTATGGGGCACAGTACAACTTGCTGACAGGAACACAGCCCTGCACTACTCCCTTGGGAGGTGGCACACAGCGCAGCACTGTAGAAAGAGCACATAGGTTTGGAGCCAGCCAACCTGAGTTCAAATCCTGACTTTGCCATTTCCAAACACGGACCCGAGCAAGTGACAGCAACATCCCATGCCTGTTTCCTCATCTCAACAATGGGTACCAACACCCCAGAGGAAGAAAAGTCACAACGGCACTATATAAATCCTGGCTAACTTGGGCAACCAGAAACCGCTGCGCAGGGTTCTCACATAAGAAGAAAAGTGATCCCAGGTCGGGTAAGCTTTTATCACCAGATGCTCCCTTACAACTCCCTTACAACACAAGGCAAGGACACGGCCTTGCTGGTGGAAGGAAAGAGGAAGGAGAAAGGCACAGAGGAGCACCCTCGACACTGGTCCAGGGTGGGCACTTCCCCATTCTTTCACACTGACAGAGCAGCTGCTTCCCTATACATCAGTTACATCTGGTAGGGTCCCTTCCTTGTATACTTCAGAAATGCTCACTGTCAGGCCCTGGACCCTGGGATCAGAATCTGACCATAATGCTCTTATGGCTGGGCTAAGAGGACAAGAAAACAACTGGGGCCAGGGGAGGCTTAGAAAGAACTGTGGGCTCAGAATTAGCCATCTGCTAGACCCTCAGATGTCTATGCCCTTTTCCATAATGAAAGGGCATAGCTCATTATGGAAGGGATATAGACTATTCCTGTCGTCTATACCTCAGCCCTAGAGCTGTCCTATCTTATATAGCTCTTGTCCACATCGATCACTGTCCTGTGGTTGGTATATCCCAAGTGACTTCCTTTTCTGTCCACACTGTGGCGACTTCAATGAAGGCACTGTGGTGTGCACTAGAAATGACTCAAATGACATGGGTAAGTCACTGAAAGCAGGTTAGTACCAGGACTCACTTGGTGCCATGAAGACACGGCTTTCCTAAACAGCTCAGGTCAGGCGTGCGGTAAAAGATTGTGGTGAGGGTGTGTCCCAGCCCTCCTCGGGCTTACCCTAGGTTTCCTGGATCTTCTCTGGAAATTTAGGGCCCTGAGCATGGCTGCCAGTGTCACCCAGATTCAGCCCTTGGCTCAAAGGAGACCTTTTCTTGCTGTAAAAGTTGGGGTCCCTAACCTGTTCCAGCAGAGCTTACTTTTCAATTCTCCCAGTCTTAGCTTCTCAGCAGGAAATGAGGAAGAACCCTGGGAAGTTGGGTGTGGCCCAAGGCCCACCATCACAGAGGGAGAAGGGGAGCTCTGCCAGCAGCAAAGTGGTGGACAGACTGGAATCACCATTTCCAAACAGTCCACAGTGGCACTGCTGAAGTCAAGGGCTGCTCCTGGAGGCAGAGAAAAATACTGCACCAATGGAAAAGGTCTGGCTTCTTCAGAACTCTCATTTGCATTCTCCAAATACTTTCACCATCATGAGGTCAAGCATAAGCCATATGACCCAGGATACAATCAAGGGTGTTTTTGCAATCTAGGGCAATCCATTCTATAGATCTACCCTGAAGAGACACCTCCAGAAATGCAAAACAACAGAGGATGATGTTATTTACAACACCACTGTTTTTACTAGCCCAGGACTGTGGACAACTCAGCTGCCACCAGGGAACTGCTGACTAGATGACAGCACTCCCACACCATGGAAAGAGATCCCCAGGATCTACTGTAAGGTAAAAAATGTATATCGTACGCTGTCTTTTGTGTGAAAAAGGAGCAGACTTTAGGAAGCACAAAGGAGAAACTAATAGAACTACTGAGGTCTCTCTGGGTACACCAGAGCATAATTTCAACTTCTAAATCAGGTAAAAGTTTACATAACCCCAAATAAAATGGAAACAGAACGTAACAAAACCTCATTACATTGAATGTAAACAGAAACAAATGAATAATTATATCAAATTGATAACATACCATAGAGAAAAGATTTATTTCAAATACGTCTGACCACAGTGCTCTGTACACCCTTGGTGGGACATATTCTAAGGCCAATGATGGCACCCCAGGGGCAGGGAACATGCCTAGTGTCCATGGAAGGGAACCAGGCTGGCCCCTGGGAGAAGTGGGTGGTTTTGGTTCTGGGGTCGCCTGCGGAGGCAGAAAGTGGGAGCATGTAGAGGTTAATAGGGAGAGTCAAAAGGACACCGGCGCTGGCTGAAAGGGTTCCTCTCATTGGCGAATGCTGTGACCAGGTGAGTGTTCAAAAGAAAGAACTGATTAGAACACAATGAAGAAAAAAATCCACATGGTGATATTAGAGGAGAAAAGAGAGAAAGACCTAAATGAAGTGAAGGGGCAAGCCATGTGGCTGTTGAAGGGGAAAAAGGTTCAGGACAGCAGAGAGGCCTCAAGGGGGAACATGGAGGGCTTTGTCGGGTTTTATTGGAAGTGTGATGGGAAGCTTTGAGCAGGAGGCAGGGACAAGGGCTCTTATCTTCAAAGGATCACCCTAAACCAGGGGTGGGGAGTGTCCGGCCTGCGGGCTGCATAGGTCTGGCCCTGCCAAGGCAACCACAGGCGGGACTCGAAATTCAATAAATCTAGGAGCTTTTTTCATAGCTAATTTTTAAGCTATGAAAATTACCTTTTGTATGGCCCACGAATGATGTTATAAATATCCAAATGGCCCTTGTCAGAAAAGAGGTTCCCCAACCTGAGTCTAAACGAACTGCAGGAAACCCAAGAGGAAAGCAGGGAGGACCCATTAGAAGCCTCTTGCAGTAGCCTTGGTGTGGCCCAGGATGGGGACAGCAGACGATTGGGGACATGACCAGGAGGTGAAGCGACACTGCTGGCTGATGGACTGGTGTTGGGGTGAGAGGCAGGGATGAGTTAAGGACCTCAGCCAAAGCCTGAGAGGATAGAGTTCAAGGAGAGGAGAAAATAGATCTTTGGCTACTAACTATAAAGGTGGGATATCCAGCTGTACCCAAACTCCGACTTGGGCCTAAATGAACTGTTTGTTTTAAAAAAGTTTTTGATTGTGATAAAATGTACATAACATAAAATATAGCCTTTTAACTGTTCCTAAGTGTACAATAAATGAACTTTTTTTGTTGTTGTTAAATATTTTTAATTGATTTTTAGAGAGAGAGGGAGAGGGGGAAAGAGAAACATCGATGAGAGAGACATCGATCGGCTGCCTCCTGTATACCCCCTACCGGGGATCCAGCCGGCAACTGGGGCATGTGCCCTGACTGGGAGCTGAACTGGCAACCTCTTGGTACACGAGATGATGCCCAACCAACTGAGCCACACCAGCCAGGGCAATAAATGAACTTTCAATAGCACTAAAGATGATGGGGAATAAAAGGACCTTTAATTCTATCTGTAATATTCTAGTTCTTTAAATTGAAATTACTCGAAACTACTATGACAATATGGTGATTTCAATTCTGTGCATCAATGGATACACAGGTGTTTGTTACTTAAATAACAAAAGCCCCAAAGCCTGGAAGCCATTCTGCTGGGTGTGGAGGTAAAAATGATGCAAAATAGGTAATCCAAATGAATTTACCCCGGGCCCTGGTGCCTGCTCAGTCCCAGGGTGACCTTGAAGGAGGTCTGGCAACTCCCTAAGAAGCCCCCCCCCCCACGGAGGTTATGGGGTTTGCCAAACAGTCCTCTTGATCCTCCCTCTGATCACAGCACATATATGTGTACGTGTGCATGCGTGTGCACACATACATAATCCTGAGTATGAGGAGAACTGAGCACCTAGTTCACAAGTTTGTGTATTTTAGAGTTGGGATCACCCTCAGAAAAACCACCTATTCAATTTTTCAGTGTCACATATGAAAAGAAAAGGAAGTACAACCAGACAGGGGAACTTGTCTGAGGTCATGGTTGAGCCAATGTTTTCATTGATGCCCTTGCCCTGAATCAGACTCTGCTAAGGGCAGAATTGGCATCATTTTTTGGTCTTTTAGAGCTCCCACTTTAGAGTGTGTGTGTGTGTGTGTGTGTGTGTGTGTGTGTGTGTGTGTGTGTGTGTGTGACACAAAGAGCTCCCACTTTAGTGTGTGTGTGTGTGTGACACAAAGAGGTAACAAAGAAATAGTGACAACTTTCCCTGTTCCAGGCAGAGAGGAAACCCAGAGATGGAGATTCCCTGGAGGAAGTCCTAAGTTTGGTTTTTAAGACTCGAGATGTTTCACAGGCTGGTCAGGAGGGCTCAAGGCAGGCAAGGCCAGGTGAGCAGAGGCAGCAACATCAATAGCCCCATCCTGTCCCCACTATGATGCCCTTCCTGAGAGACCAGAGGCTCTGGGCCAGCCGCCTCTCCCATCTTCATTTGGGTTAAGATGGTGCTTCTGAGAAGCCTTCCCTACACTTGCCTCCCACTTTCCATGAGCAGGAGCCCAACAGTGTACTTTGAATATACCACCATCATGGGCAACTTCCCCCAGATGTTGTATCACTTCTTTACTGTCATCTCCCTGCTCAACACACAGTGCCAC